TATTAGAACCAAAATCCTACTTTAACAAGATGATGAAACAAAATTGGTGAGAGACTTTTTTTGAGGGAACTGGGCGTAACTCTCAAAATGTCAAAAAGGCAAAATGGACGTTCTTTTGAATGTTTTGCCTGATTAAGAAGCCTAACCTTCCTTCACAACAGAAGACCACTTTACAGCGAATATCTTGGAAAAACACTCTGTAGGGATTGAGCAATTTTTCACTAAAAAACGTGTGTTTAGCGAAATCATAATAGAAGACCATGTTCTTCTATTCTGGAAGACAGTTTACTTGGTTCATATGAGTATATATATGTAGGCAAGTAAGCTATTTTTATTTGTAATTCTATAGTGCTTATGGCTGTTCGAAAACTTATCTATTACTCGTTCATAATACAGGGTGTAAAAAAACCATTACGCCCCCCCTTCCAGACCTAAAGACCAAATAGTACCCCCAACAATTTTATACCAAATGAAAGCCCGCAAAAAGTTACGTCTAGTGGTATAGTCAGAACAAATATAGTTTGTAATATTATAACGATTCTAGGCTCAATACATCATTTTCACTTATATATCACAATCTCGAGTACGTCAAAAGCCGTTGTGCTCAACAGTAACTTAAGTTGTGAATCATTAATTATTCAGTTTATTGATAATATTGAATACTAAAAAATGCTTTTTCGAAAGTTTCAGAACTTCGTATGACCCCCATCAGCAGCCTTGAGAGCATCAAATCTTTTTCGCATCGAGCATAACAAGTCAATAAAAAGATCTGTATCATTTTCAAGATCTTTGAGCGTATTCTCCAAATTCGTTTTCAGTGCGTCGTAATTGTATCTGCTACGACGATCTTCATTTGCCATTAGTTCCTCAACTTTATCTTTAATAATTGCACCAATATTTTCTGCAGGATTCATGCCAGGACTATTGCCTGGCCAAATTGAATTTCCCCAGAAATTCACATTCTCATCTTCTAAAAGATGTTGTGTTGCATTCGCTTTCATACAAGGTGCCTTGTCGTGAAGAAATATCACTTCGTTCGTATCGAGAACATTGGACGAATCACGAAGAAATGGGATCACCTGTTGTCGAAGGATAGTGTCACGAAAATAAGCGCCATCCCAAGACTGTCCATGTTCTTTTAGCACCCAAAGTAGTTTTTTTGCAGTAAACATGACGAAAACCCCAATACATGTTGCATTGTAAACCATCTCTCGGTATCTTTCATCATCACTGATGTCTTCAATACTTCTTGCCCAAATTCGATCATTTTGATGGTTTGGTTTTCTTACAACATAAATGTAAAATTCATCCGAAGGTGCAACATGTAGAAAATCTTCTTCAGTCCAATCAGTAAGAAAATTTGCTAGCCACTTGCGATCTTCGATATGTGTATTTGTCTTCAGTGGCTTGGCAATCACATGGAAAGCTTTTAATCCTTGCCGATGGCGTTCATTGTAAATAGTCATGTGATTCACCCGCTATTTTGTTTTCTCTAAAATCTCTCTTGCAACTTTTCGACAGCTACTGCTTTTGACACCACTTGCAGAAGAGATAATGTTTCTGCTCTCCTGATTAAGCACCTGGGGTCGACCACTGCCAAATCGTGTATAACATTCTTCGATAGATTTATTCCAATTTCGTCGTACCCAATCTTCACTGCGACGTAGCTTCTCGGAAATCCAAGGGCGAGTAATAATTGAGTCTCCTGTTCTTGCAATCAGTTCGTCACGTATTTCACGATATGTGACACATCGAATTCTGTCAACGAATCGTTGCTCTTCCGAATCATGAAGCAGATTAGCCATTTTGGTTTTTCAATTAATGTACCATAGAATTTTTTATTAACTAATCAGCAAATTGTTCAACGTCTAACGTGAATAAAAATTACTTGCGCGGACAACAGATACTCAGAAAGAAAATCAATGAAAAAAGTTGAAAATATTTCGACACTCGACCATTTTCTTTTCTGTATTCTCTTCTTATCTGTTCGTGCATAAATGTGCACATAACTTTCTTTTTTTCTGTTCCTTCTTCTCGTTATCAGTCATCAATAGTAAGGCTTTTGATAATTCACACTAAACATTACTCAACTCGCTCACGTGCTTTGTGATACTCAAATATAACATTAGAAAACGAAAATTTGGGAAAATACGTGACATATTGGTCTACGATATCGTACATTTAATAAAAACTTGGAGCCATGAAAACTACGATCTATTAATACGTAATTCGAAAGTGAAGAAAGATAACTTGTATCATTTCAATTGATATGAGACTGTGATACATGAGTGAAAATGATGTATTGAGCCTAGAATCGTTATAATATTACAAACTATATTTGTTCTGACTATACCACTAGACGTAACTTTTTGCGGGCTTTCATTTGGTATAAAATTGTTGGGGGTACTATTTGGTCTTTAGGTCTGGAAGGGGGGGCGTAATGGTTTTTTTACACCCTGTATATGTCAGAGTTACATTTACCTGCTAGTACTGTCATGTCGCTTAAGTCTTTATCAGTCAATGAATGTTGAAGATAGCTCTTGATTATCTTCATTTTCGAAAACGATCTTTCATAAATGGAATAAATTAAAAAAGAAGAAGAGAATATGCATACGACGGGAGTCGTCTCTCTTGACATAACTAGCAAGGGTATACACTGAAAGCAAAATGTACACAATATCTGCTACTTCTAAAATACGCACTGCTATCCACTTTTTTCAACAAGCGGAGTGTATCATGTACACTTTGCAAAAGAAATTTGTCGTTTTCTTTTAATATATAGAAAACTATTTTCAGTTTCAAAAAATATCTTTCAACTACGCGTAGACTGTGATCTATTAGATAAAAACTGTATCTATGTTTACTCAGACGATACAAACATTGTTTTATGTTTCATTTTTTTACCTTCTATGAAAAGTTTGTTTTTGTACACTTTGATACATTTTGTCTATAGAAATCCAATACATAGTGACGGACAAAAGTTTAGAGCACCTTTTATTTTATGAATTATTTTGCTCAA